GGGAAAGGATCACAAATGAAAATTTGTCTTGGAGGAAAGTAAAGATTTTAGCTAACTTTCACTTTGTTTTAAGCTAACTGCTCATGCTGGAATTACTAAGGTAAACCACTCAAAGAATAAAAACAGAGTCTTCTATTTCAAAACCAATAAAAGGGAAAAAAGGAATGAAGAAAAACAAACAACCTAAAAGAAATCGAGAAAGGTGGGGGCAGAGAGAGAAAGAACACAAGTGTATTTGAGCACCAAAGCAAATGGAAAACCCCAAATGTAAGGGTAGACACATATCCAGATCTAGGGGTGCTCACAGAATGAGTGGACTACTCGCTTTGGTCCAAAGACAAAGATTGGATTGTCAGAACTGGATAAGAATTTAAAATCTGACTATGCTATTTACAAGAGACATATAAAAACCTTCATGATACACAAGGATTAGAAGAGGAAGAATGCATAAAGACATATGAGGCAAATTCTAAACCAAAACAAACAAACAAACAAAAAACAAAAAATAAACCCATTTTTGAATTAATATCAAGGAAGGAGATTTTTAAGGCAAAAAGTATTTTAGGGACAAAGAAGGTCAATTCTGAGTGGTAAATTTCACTTTACTGGGAAGATATAATAGCTTCAAATTTGTATACATTTAATGACACAACCTCAGGATAACACCAGACGGAGAAAGAGACCTCACCATAATCATAGTGGGAAATATTTTTATAGACCGTTCTCTCATAATTACTAGACCAAGCAGGGATATAGAATATTTGGACCATGCCATGAACTTCCTGTACTGAGCGGATTATACAGTGTATTGCTCCCTGCAACAGCAGAAGGCACAGTCTTTTCAAGTACATAAGGAACATTTTCAATATATTGAGCCAAAAGGAAATTATCAATATATTTCAAAGCACTAACATCAGACAATACATGTTCTCGGACTATAACACAATGAAGCCAGAACGCAATGGCATACAGATAACTGGAAATACCACATATGTCTTGAAATTGAGAACCATGCTTCTAATTAACCCGAGTCAAAGAATAAATCAAATTAAAAATGAGAAAATATTTAGAACCAAATAATAAGGGAATTCTACACATCAAGGTGGTTCTTAGAAGGAAATTGAAGTCTTAAATGAATATAGTGGGGAAAAATTGGTTGACAATTCCATCTTAAGAAGTTAGGAAAGGATGAAATATGCAGAATGGAGAATGTAATTAAGATAAGATGCAGGGTTAATTGACACAGAAAACATCAATGAAGTACAGAGGATCCACAAGCTAACAGTCGGTCCTTTGAAAGGATTGATTAA